TTTTAACAAATTATCTGTACTCTAATATATCAAAATACTATTTTTAATTTTTTGTACACATGCCTTAAAGCTAATGAGAAACTAATAAATGGTGTAAATAATAACTTTTAAGTTTTAATCAAGTGAATATTTCAGTTAAAATTAAAAATAATAATTTGGTACCAGGCCAAATTATTTACAGGTCTTTCATATTACTGATGCCTTTACCGTCAAACATCTTCAAAAGTACTTTGCTCTCATGACCACCAATACTTTCCCCAAATTTGTATTCTCTACGTATTCTTGGTCTACTTAAAATGCAATTCGAGCAAATCAAGCACGCCCTGTCAAAACTGCTTAGGGGTGTTAGGGGTTTTGTTTCCGGAGGATGCTGTGTGTGTGGCAACGTTACGTCACACGTGCACCTGCGTGCTGCGCCCCGCGGCCTTCTCGCGGCACGCGCCGTGTGTCCGCGCGAGTTTGTTTGCTCGGCGCCCGCCCACCAGGGAGCGCCGCCTCGGTTATTCTCAGCGCCGCGGGCGCCGCCACCCAAGGACACGACCCCCGCAGACGACGCGCGCGGGCCGGCGCGCCGAGCACCTGGCAGGAGGGCGGTGCACTCGAAGGTGGCCAATTGGGCGCATTGACGTCCGGCTGGGTGGGTCAGTTGGTCGATGGGTTAAAGGGGGATCGGATAGATAGGGTGACGGGCGGGATGGAGGGGTGAGTGAGTGGCTGGTTGGGTGGATGGTCGGGTGGACGAGCGTCTGAGACGTAACAGAAGTCACATAGAAGGATGCTCTGGGGGACGATCTGTAAGAACAACTGACAAACCTCAAGGCGCGCGAAATAATGCTAATTAATTGCGAATAAGAACAAGTACCAAAGCGTGCTCTAGAATGCATAACCTTCAACACATGAGAGAATGGTGGTGAAACAAGGGATATGACTCGAGGCTATTGATCTGTAAGACGCGATGACTAGAAGTATTATTAGTCTGTAAATGTAAATTGTTAAGAGAAGTTATAGAAGTCTAATCATACTTGTGGTAGGATACTAGAACTGTGATACTAGAATTGTCGATTTATTTTATATCAACCCTATCTATGTGGATGCTATTAAAACAACAGGGTCGGTATGAGATGGAGAAAAAACACAATATTGAAAGAAAAGCGAATCTCTGACTGTCCGGTTAAGATTTTATTTCCTTATCTTTTGGTGCTGCTTGCATGTAATACCGTCGTAGAGGAAATACCTGTTTTTATTCTCTCTTATTGCAGTCAATAAAATGTAAGATCTTTGAAGTTGAAAATAATTGTTAATTTTAAATAATCCGGAAAGATTTTCCTTCACAAAATATAATATTGTTTTGTTATCTCTCTCTCTCTTTCTCTCTCTCTCTCTCTCTCTCTCTCTCTCTAT